TGAGTACATCAACTCATCCTCTTCATCTTCGATGCATACGTAACTTAAATTTTCGACGTCGAAGATTTTGAACCAACCAACGATGATGTTGAACCAGTTACAGAGTAACCATCCCTATTCCAGCCCCTAAACAACCACAGGATGTCAACACTTAACCAGTTATCCACACTGAAGCAACCAGCTCATCGACGAACCCGCTAAGCCCTTCCAGACCTAGAAAATTCCCCTACCCGACAGTCCTCCCAAGACCCGGCGTCACCTCAAGCGTATAACAGGTTGTATCGCTATTCTATCTCCATCCGAGCTTCCTTTAGAATACACGTGATCAACCAGCCCCTCATCTTAAGTGATGCAACACCCGCGTGTCGAGTTGACCTTCTCCAACACAATGAGGTACCAAATTTCACTTGCATTTACATCATCATTTTAGAATAATTTCCCATGTATTAGATTTCATGCATTGAAGATAATGCACCCCTCAAGTTTGGAGGAGGTGGTGTGCCTCAAATTTAGTTAGTTTCATTTATTTGATAATGATTGGTTGAATTTGTTTTGTCATGGAACGAGTATATTAGGATAATTGTTGGAATAAGTTGAGGATGCTCGATTATGAAAATAATTCTTATTGATTAGGCCATAATTTTTATGACTGTTGAAGGATAGAGCAACTCTAGGACTTGATGCTTTGTGATCTTGTTAACATGATTGTATGTTTTCTCTGCTTAAGGTGCGTAGAAAATTTGTAGGGAAAAACTTTTTGCACTTCGTGGCATTAAATGATCGAAAAGATTAAGTTGAACTCATTAATGTTTTGAATTGTGTTGAATTACAAATAAATGTCTTGGTATAACTGTAGGGGGACACTCCTCTATGTGTTGGCATGACCTAGAAAACTCATTAAATAAATGGTTGCCTTAGTATGAGTGAATGAAAGTAGTCACTGGATGACTCTACACCTGACTAGATTGGGGGTGGAAGGTATGCTCCCTTTGACCTAGAGTGTTGGATGGTAGATGTAATGAGCTGACTCCCCTTGGGCACTTTTTTGTAAAAACATTGAATAAAACAACACAAAGTATGAAGTTACATGTAGAATATAGGATGAAAATGTTTTTAGTGAATAATTTGATGCCTTGGAAAAAGTGAATAACTTACTTAGGAGGTTTCTAAATACGTTAAAGCATAGAATAATACAATCATGCACACACACTGACAAAGAGTCTTGACCTAGGGAAATGTGCTTAAATTTTGTAAAGTCTTACATGTTGAGGATATACCTTTTTACTAAGGGCTGAAATTTTAAACGACATGATTGTCCTAATTTTACTTTGTTGTGACACTTAATTTTTTCTACTGCTTATTATCCATTGCTTGAGGACAAGTAATACTTAAGTTTGGGGTGTGATAACTCCATAAAAGACAATGTTTTGGGTCTTTTTACTTAGGTTATTATTTGTCTAAAAGCCATTTGTCATAGCATTTTAGTCTCTTAGTTGCATGTAGTATACATTTTCATGTGGTGAATAAGTTTTACCGAGGAAAACTTTATTTGGTTTAACTGATACTGCTGAAGAGGAATGTTGTTGATGATTGTGTTGATGCAGGAAAGGACGAATGAAGAATATATTTACCAAGCCAAATCAATTTGCTAGGGCCAACGGAGCAGAAAAAAACGACAATGAGGAACATATTTTCTTGACTAGGCGAGAGATATCACGCATGTCTGACACAACTTGACAACTGCTAATGTCACTTGCCCAAATCAACCTCATGTTCACTCATGCCCTTAGTAAGTTAATGGGGACCACTGCCAGCTACTATATAATTCACAAAATGGGTATAAAATTAAGGGTATTTATGGAATTTCCAAGGGCACTAAACCCTAGAAATTCCCACTATAAATAGCCTATTATAACTCTTCAAATAGTGGAGGAAACAAAGAAGAAGAGAAAAGAATATACCCGAGGCTTGGAGTAGGTTGCTGCGGCACTTCACTTTCACACCATCCCCACTCGACCATCCTTGGTGCCCTCTATAGCCAGACTTCATTGGAGCGGCGACCAGGCCTCGAGAGAGGTTGGTCGCTAGAGCAAGTGTGGTGGTGGTCATAATGTCATGGTAGCTTAGATTTTGGGAGTTTTTCTTCCTTTTTTTTATATCGTTTAAAGGGTTGTACTTAATGAATGATTCTTGGATGATATTTACCACACCATAACTGTTTTTGGTGTTTGATGACGCTTGAAAGATACTTTTGTTCAATTGTTATTGATCAACGCAATTTTGTTATTGCTAAGTGTTGTTTTGTTCATTGTTTTAATATTTTGCCTTAACTCTGTAAGAACCTTCGAGAGATTGCCTGGTGCCACAATAAAACATTCATAGTCTTTGTAAGAGCCTTCAAGAGATTGCCATTTTTCTAAGAGTAGATGCCTAATATCGAGAGAGTTAGGGTAGATCTATGTGAACAAGGGAACTAATCCGGGATGGTGAGGTTCTAATCTACCTTAGAGATAAGGAGGGTTTCATTTCCAAAAAAGGTAAAAACTTGAATAAGATAGGCCAAAAGCTACAGTTTACGCTGAGGGGTATTTCCGCAATAATAGTTTGACAAACCAAGGGTTGTAGTTCATGCCGAGTATTGCCGTAGAAAAAGTCCTGAAACACTCTAGTGAATCCTGTCGGACAACACAACATAACACTCTCTGAATCATCATAAGCATAGAATAATTTGTCGCCATAGCAATTCCAACCCAAGTGCTCCATTAGAAGTCTGATTGTGCGAGGCTTTTCTGAATATTGATAATCGTTAATTTTTATTACCTTGACAACTTTTATTTGTTTACGTTTGCATATTTTTATTGCCTTTACCAAACTTTTTGTTCTCTTCACTTTACAATTTTTTGCCTCAACAATTTTCTATTCGTTCATACACTACATATTGTTTGCTTTTTAAACAAGAATAGGAGAACTAGTTAGTGACATCTAGTTCTAGTTGTTGCAAATATAAAAAATCCCATCAATCCCTGTGGAGAGGATAACACACTTACTACTATATTACTTGCATCGATTGTGTATACTTGCGCATATTTGTGCCACAACACACATTTACACTTGATTAACGAACAATTTGATAGATTGTGTAAGTAATAAAGATTATATGTGTAATTATTCAAATTTTATTAACTGCCACGTCAACACTTCTGTTAATTGTTAATGTCAAGTGGCTTGTTTGAATGCATTTAAATAGTTTAGTGACCTTATTGACAAAATTTCAAAAATGGTGGTCAAAATGAAAATGGGCAATAGTTAGGTGGTCACTGTTATAGTTTACCCAAAAAGATTATGGAAAATAATATAATTAATATTATTTTAACTAATTTACCTTTAAATGTTTAACTAATTTAGCTTTAAATTTGAGTACTTTAGAATTTTAAAAATTTTATAAATTAAATTAATGGTTCTCATCGTTAGAGGTGCTCAATGGTGCTCGTCTAGTGCTGTAGAATTTTCCTATAAAATGAATGTACAAACTATAACGCTTTTCACTAGTAGAAGTCTAAATTATTTTTTGAATGATCCATGTGTTAAACGTTATAAATGTTTCCACTTTAGGTGTCCGGATCGTCAACGACGTTAATTTCCTCTATTAAGTTACACGTGTAACAATCTGGTAATTTTAAAATTTATTTTTAAAAAAAATTAAAATTATTATTAAATTTATAAAAAAAGCATAATTCTCTTCAATTAAAACTCCCCCAAAATCCTTAAATCCTAACATTAACTCATCACTGCCACCTTTTCGACCATTGCCTCCGACGTAGCCCCTGTTATACTCCTAGTCATACACCACTGTAGCTGTCATTGATTAGCCGTCAGAATCACGTGGGATCACAATTTTAATCCTAGGGTTTGCGAGGTATAAAACATCAATTTCTAGTCGATCGGTCATTGACCGGTCACATTTTCATAGGAGTTTTGATCGTCTAGTGGAGGTGAGATCGGGTGGAGCTTCGTCAATGGCAAAGGGCGGAGGTCGACGTGGGTATAGGGGTTGAAATGAAGGTTTTCAAAGTTTTGGGGTTATTTAAATTTCTTTGCTTTTTAATATAATTTTTATTTTTAAATTTTTAAGAGAATTTTTAAAATTACCATATTATACGTGTCACTTAACGGATGAAATTAATGTAGTTGATGACTCGGGCACCCAAAGTGGTAACGTTTGTAACATTAGACAACCGAGATCATTCAAAAAATAATAATTTAGGCATCTATTCAAAAAAAAAAAAACGCTATAATTTGAGCACTTATTTTACAATTAAGCCTATTTCATTTTAGGGTGAGGGAGAAATGTGTACTGGCATAAAAAGGTAAAAGTATTTCTCTTGAATTTGATGGATTTTAGTAAGTTGATTTATTTTTAAAATGATTCGAGTTCAAGCTGAGTTATGTTAATTTTTTAAGAATGTGGTTGGGATATGTTCAAGTTTAAAGTGAAAGAATTCCACTCGATCCAATATAATATTATAAATATTCATTATTTTTTAGAGAAAATTATAGTATCTCTTTATATACTATTTTTCAATTATATCCTTATTTTATCTAATAAAAATTGTGTTTATTTAGGTTGAATCTAGTTAAATTAGATATAAATTTTATCTAAAAAGCATATTAGATTTAAATCATATGAATCCCTCCTAAATCCAGACCAAATTCAAATTGAGAGCGTAGTACCCTAATTTTGTCCAAGTGTTTGAAAATGAACTTGGGGTCGATCGGATTGGATTGAAAACATTCCAATGGTTTTGAAAGTTGTTCATGCAAGAACGACAAATTGACTCGAGCGACCTTGGTGGCATGAGTAGAAATAATTCGAGGTCTTGTAAATGCTTGCATTTGGGCTTGATAACCATACTTGCTTATTTTAAGATTCTACGAGTTCAATTTTCATCAAAATCATTAAAACTCAAATGCCCGAAACTTAATCCAAATAAACATTAAAATGTCCAAATTCACATTTCGGTCTATCATTTATAAACTTAAACCCCATTACAAATTAATCCAAAACCCATACCCGCTACATTAACCTTTCAGACCCATTAACCATACCAACTACCCAAATTCAAAGCTCATCTACCAAGTTACAGAGCAATCCCAATGTTTGTGGTTTAGGGTTTCTAAATCTACCGTCGCATTCATCATCCATATCACCAGGCAGTGGTCCAAACAAAACCAGCAGCTTCCAGAATCTTCTCCATAAGCTCTCTACACTTCACGTCAGCACCAGTGGTCCCGAGATTGTTTCATCTCCACAACCATTCCAACAGCTCCCGAAAAACGGTCTCCATAGATTCCATGCAACAGCACCATGCATCGGAAAAAACAAAACAAATGAGCTGTAATTTTTTTTACTACTGTAAGTCAATTGTAAAAACAAAGGGTTATAAAAACTCAAAAATGAGTACTGTAAAGGGGATTATCCACTGATTTCGAAAGAACACAACCAATACAAAGGCAATTTTTCTCAAGGATTCTCATTTTTTTCCCATTTTCATAGCACTATATAAGTGTGTTTTTATTTAAAAACCAAAATAAAAGAGAGGTCGTTGGAGTTTACCTTTGGTTATGGATTTGTTGTCTTCGGAAACCGTTGTAGGAGTGGAAGGAGTCAGACGGTCGGGTGTTTTAAAAGGGGATTGTCGAGACACTATTTAGGGAGCGTTTTAGCTTTTCTAGGTCTTGATTTTGGAGTCTAGAGGAGAAACATAAGATTTTAGGTTAGTTTTGGTGGGATTTTACGAGTAAAGTATCGCCGGCGTGTAGTGTTTGGAGTGGTGGCGTTGGGTTTTCAATAGCTTGGCCATAGGTGCAAAGGAAAGGGGTTCAGATACAAAATAAGAGCTTTGGTTTGTTTATGGTTTACAACCGTTTTTAACCGGGTTTAAAAAATAATAATATTATTATTATTGTTATTATTATTATTATTACATTTTTGTATATGCCCTTGTCACAGCCCAAATTAGAAGCACAGCTCAAGCCCCAGAGCCTAAATTATAAATGAAATGATTAGCGAATTTTGGCTTTGTTTTGGGTCTTTTATAATAATATCGAAGCTACGTTTTTCAATAGGGATCTTTTGTGTATTTTCATCATGAGTAAATTAAACATTAGGGGCTTATATGTTTTACATATTCATGTTATGATCACCTATTGTGTTTCATTTATATTGTATTTCATGCATCGTATTTATAAATTTTGTATTTTAGTCACTTTTTAAATATAATATTGGTTGTTTTGGTTTTTTTGTTCGGTCATTAAATATTATTTCTTATGATTTGGCATTTTTATTTTATGCATGTTTATTTTGGTCAATGTAAGTCATATAGTTTTAATTATTTTGATTTCTAGGATGTATTATTTAATATTGGCAATTTGGGCTCTAGTTTATTTTTATTCATGTTTTTGTTTTAATGTATATCAGTCCTTTATATTATTTATGAGTTATTTCTAGTGCTTGTAATGTTATTTTTTTTTATTTTGGCTTTGTTTTTATATTTGTGGTTTAGCCCTTTAATTTTCTGTTATTTATTTTATTTAGTCATTTAATTTTATGTTTTTGTTATTTTACTCCTTTAATTAATTAATTAATTTGAATCAAATTAATCAATATTTAATAAATGAATCATATTTTAACTTGATATTTGATTCAGGATTTCTGTCATTACGACAACGTGTAAGCGACACAATACCAATTTTGGGCGCTATTGGGGTGCTAATCCTTCCTCACACGTAATTGACTCCCGAACCCGTTTTAATCGGATCTTTGTAAACGCAGACCAGTTTTTGTCTTAAAAACAATTTTGTTTAAAATTATTTTAAAGTACATTTTTAGGTATTCGACCTACCTAACTCAAAGGTCGATGGAGACTCCATTCAAATTAATGCAAAGTCACCAATTTTTCCAAATTAAAGTCGTAACTGTTTTTAAAACAATAAATAATTGTTCCACCTAAAAACGGTTATGACAGCTTGGCGACTCCGCTGGGGACTTTTTAGTGAGTCAAGCTGTAAGTCGTTTACACATTGTCGTTGTGATGGAAATTATGAGTTCGAGTTTTTAGTTATTTTATGATTCATTTATTGAAGTTTGTAATTGCTTCATTTTTTTGTTATACTAACATTTTGATTTTTGCTTTCAGATCTGTCCAAGTTTTGATCGAGTGGTTTCGTTTTCCTTTTGAGTCAAATGGTTGAATGTTCCTCCTTATACACATCACAGACATTTGCATAACATAAGCTCTATACTTGAGCTCTGAACCCTTTCTAAGTGGGGGTAAAAGCGTTACCTTCGTCGGAATGTATTCTCCGTACGGGCCTAGCAAGTAACCTTCGGGATTCTATACCTTATGTCTTCGTGTAAATTTATTCTCCGTATGGACATAAGGGAATGTATCCTCTCGAATTGAACTCGTTCCGCTCGAAACCTATAATGGAGGATCGAGGGTTTGGCAGCCTAAGGGGGTACCAACATCAGGGATAATTCGAGTACCCTTATCTCGTTAGAGCCGAAACCATGCATATAGTGAACCGTAGAACGGTCACCATAGGTATAGTCATATCAAACCTCTGTCCGTTAGTAAGTAGCCAAATTAAGTGTACACAAAGGAGGACCATTTCTGAACATTTCCTTTTGTTTTAAATTTTGTTGAATGACAACATGCGAACTAGATACCATGCAGTTAGGATTAATTTTTTGAAAAATCATTTTAGGTAGATAGCACGTCCGGGTAGGAATGTTATTTAATTAAAGCATGTTCGGGTAGATATCATGATTGGGTAGGTATTATATTCATCTTTGAATGACATTTTTATTTGTACCAATTGTCTTACCTGTAAAATTGATCTCTTTCTTTTATTTTGAACATTAATTTGTTTTGTTTGTGTCATTTTTCATATTTCTTTGCATTGCATTATATCATTTAAGAGAGGTGTTGATCCACAAAAATGTGTTCGTTAAACATAAACAATTTTCATTAATGGAAAAAGGGGTTGTAATACAATAGGTAAAAATACAGAGGCCCGACTATGGTCAGAAAAGACTCAGAAGGAAAAGGGAGGCACTCTGCAAGGCAATTATCTGTCACGTTCAATCAAGAAGATGTGGTGCCCACCATTGAGGAGTATACCACTATGTTGCATTGTGAATAACTCAGAATGGACCGGGATTTACACCAAGCACATCAAAAGTCCACTTTTCAAAAAAGGTTTGGCAAAGATTGCAGGAGTAAGACGAGAAAAAGGTTGTTGACATGGAGAGTTCCTTCGAAGACGACAAGAACAAGATGGCAAAACAATAGCCGAAATTGGAGGTCATCGTTGACGAATTCAAGAAGCAAGCAAGTGAGCTTCAGAGAGTTCCCTTCGATGGAGGTTTCTAATGGCCTTTCATCGAGGGTAGGCTCAGTAGGGAGTGAAAATCAGAGATGTGACCATTCGATACTTTTGGGAATAAGTACACAGAGCAGCTCGTCACTTGCACGGTTTAGCCAGAGAAGTCGGAGCGGTTCGACAGGGTATGCAACCGATGACAAACAAAGGCATAAGACTAGTCAACCAGTCAGAAGCTATCAGGATGTTTTTTTCTCTTAAAAAATAACACTTTTGTCCCAATAAGGATTATTTATAATAATAGACACATTTTCGGATCAATGCCTCAAATATTTCATGAATCATTGCATTTTGTATAGTATTCATTTAAGTATTTTTACATATATTAATCATACCTTGTGGGAAACCTTGAGGAGTTGCTTCTAATGGTTACTACATTATACAATACTGAAAATGGATGCAAAATTGGAGCAACTGAAGAAAGAATTGGAAGATAATTTGCGAAATATACAAACAAAGTGGGAAGCTAAAATGGAACAAGCTCAAAAGGCCACCCTGGATCGTACCTTGCAAAACCAAGATGACTTGGTTAATCAAATTGTAGCAAAGATGTGTGGGATCAACCAGGAAAAAAACAAAGAGAAAATTTCCTTGACCCATGAAACCTCTGAATATGTGAATGCACAGGCTAGTTCACAACTACTCGTTTCGCCCGACAAACTTCCAAGGCATCCAATGGGTTTCTCTACCAGTAAAACTCAAGCCACTGTGTTAAATCCTCGGTATAATTCTTGTTGAAAACATTTTGATTTTCGGTATAACAAATTAAGGGTTATTGAATTTTAAGATTTCACAATCATTTTTAAAGTATATTCGATTCAATTATTCGAATATCAAAATATTACTTCAAGATTTTAAAAGGTCAATTTCAATCCTTACTAAAGTGTAAAATTGTGTTTTAAACTTAAAATATTTTTGAAACAATTTTACAAAGTATTTTGAACCAAAATCGAGCCAAAAATTAATTTTCCAAAGGGATGTACCGATGCACTCCATGATGCATCGATGCACACCCATTTCAAATGCATTTTGTGTACCGATGCACAAGCTATGCATCGATGCACTCTTGAATATTTTGAAACATCGAATGCATTTTGTGTACCGATGCAGAGACCATGCATCGATGCACTCCTGGCTCTTTTAAACATCAAATGTAATTAGTGTAACGATGCACCCCTAGTGTACCGATACACTAAGTCTTATAACGGTCAAAATATTTGAATTTTACACATAGTGTACCGATGCACCTTGGCTATGCATCGATGCTTACACGCTCACAACTATTTTATTTAATTATTTTCACAAAATAACGACTCTATTGACTTCACCAATGATCTCAACGTTTAGAAGTGATTCAAGGTGTATTTAAACAAGCTTAGGAGCCATTGATCAACAACAATTGTGAGAGAAACAAAGAGAAAGCTTTAAACATCAAGTTTGAGCAATTCATGCCAATTTTCATTCAATATTCATTTTTGCTTTGAAGAACACCATTTGTACTCAATTGTATTCATTCTTGAGTATTATTTCTTGTTCTAGAATTGTGCAAACATATTGCCTTGTGGGGTTTTTCTGTAAGTTTGCAAATTTGTGTATTTCTCTTTGGGAGAGAGTTTTCTCAAGAATTTAGGGTATAATTCTTGAGGGAGTTGTAAGGTTACTCTTTTTCCTCAAAAGAAAGAACAAATTAGTGATTTTGTTGGAAAATCTTTAGTGTGGATAGCTAAGGTTGTGGACGTAGACTTTGGTTGATAAAATCGAATTACTCTAAATCGTTGTGCAATTATTTTCTATTTTTTGCAAAAGCTTCCAACAAATTTTTATTGCCAATTCACCCCCTCTTGACTATTTTGTCGATCGATTAAGTCAACAATTGGTATCAGAGCCTCACTCATTTGAAGGTTTAATCACCTCTTGATTCGATTCGGGAAGAGTTATATCGATATTCAAGTCATCAATGGCGTCCACTTCAAACTCTGACTTCGGTATTGATTCTATCCCCGTCAACAAGTATCCTTTCTTCAATGGAGCTAATTATGCTTATATGAAAAATAGAATGAGGTATTTCATTCAAGCAAGTGACATGGGAGCATGGAATAGCATAGAAGATGGATACTTCATTCCTTCCACTCATTCAAGATTGTGGAGTGAAGCAGAGACAAGAATGTTCCAGCTCAACTCAAAGGCTATCTATATTACATTTTGTACTCTTGTACCAGATGAATACGGGAGAGTTTCATCTTGTACAACCACCAAGGAGATATGGGATAAACTACAAGTCACTCATGAATGCACAGATGAGGTAAAAGAATCTAAAATTAGTCTTCTAACTCATAACTATGAAAATTTCAGGATGAAACCGAATGAATATATCAAAGCTACGATGGATAGATTTTCCACGATTGTCAATGGTCTCAAATCATATGGAGAGAA